TTTGTTCACGCATGCGCCGCCCATTATTTCGGTATCTTCGACACGGAGTACCCATAACTCTGAGGTATGTTGCAGTATTTTCCGCACATTAGCTCTTCATTCTCTTACCTCGATCGGTTGGTTACTATATTCTCCCCACCATTAGTGATTGAATGGTTAGAAATTACACTGAAGGAATTGATACGCACACTAATCTCACCGGTGATTTATGTACGGATGTTGTTACAACTGCTTACATTAGGGAGTGTACTGACCGCCTTGAACGCCTGTTCGATGATAATGAAAACTGTTGGCGGATCAACTTGAATCATGATATGAAGAATATGCCGAACTGTGCAAGGACGCCTCCTTAGTAGTTAGGCCAGCTCCAAGAGAACAATGTCATCTACATGTTACAGCCTGGAAATGATAGAAATCTATCTATCCTCAAGCAGCCACTTGAAGTAGTCATTCCATTCACATATATGAGCAGTTTCATCACCACCGGTGCACATTAGCTGAGGTGTTTCTCCCTTCTATCTGACTTGTGCAATGAATAAATGGTTGTAATAGTGCCTGACGTGATTCAAAGGAAGAACAATTCTTTGCAATTCTAACCTATAGGCTTATAAACAAATGATCCATTTATAGTAGCTTTGTCCAAGCAAGATGGTTTACCAAAGCGCTCGATGTGTGCAACCGAGCTGGATTGCAGTGTCTCTGGTTAAATTGACTAAGCTCATCGCCCTACTTCTGTACTCCCCGGCCATTCTGCTTCCTACTCCAAATAGGTTTTAGAACTCTAATGTGCTGAAAGTCAACTCCGTGTTCACGAATTAACAGTCGCAGTGTATACTAACCTTTAATCCTCATTCAGCTCTCCGCCGCCGGTTATGACCTTGCTAATTTATTCACGCCTTGGTTTATTTACATGTGGGAATTACTCTCCGGGGGCGCATTTCTTGTCTCATCGGTTGGTCTCTGTTACCTTTGTCATAACGTCTTACGTTTGCACATTTTAATCGGTTCTATTCGTGTCGACACCACTGGATTATGTGTGGGCGATTCCTCTTACTTCATCCCGTTTTCTGGCTTATCGCTACACCAACCAACTCCTTAGACCAACACCACCCGTCTGTGTATTGGTGCGTGAAAACAGTCCACCGTATAGAAGACCACCAAACGTAGATCGCGCAGTCACTAATTTTTCTACAGTCCGATTCAGTTATCTATTCACTACCCTGTTTAATGGTCGTCACCAAAAAATGCATATCTTTGTTACCGCTTTATAGCGCTCGATGTCCAGACCATCGCTGCGGTATTTTCTCACTTAAACTCTCTTTCTCCCAACTAGGATCGCTATTAATTGTCAGATTTGGCGCTGGCCTGTCCATCGTGACCTACTTCTCGTCAAATTGTGTTTGCTCCCAGTTGGGCTAGCCGTAATGATCACGTGGGTTTGCTTCCGCAATGATTCCCGGTACGTTCACTTGTTTTCTTCGATTACGTCCGCATCCACCTTCGTTTCACATTCTACTCTCATTCTATGTTTTGCCCGGTTTCTTTTAGCAGACTTTCACTACCTGCTAGCCACCGTTTGCAACATGTACTACCTTATAAATTTATTTTTGCTCTACTTTGCCAATCAATAGCGACACATCGGTACCTCGATACAGGCGTAACCCCGATATTCAGTTATTTTGGACATTCGGTCTCAATTCACTTTAGTTGAAAATCATTGCCCGATCACTGAAGCTAGGTAATTCCAATTCGCTTGATTTCATTCGCCATGATAATCAAAGCCAAATATAAGGCGAAGGTGATACAAAGCGCGTTTAGAACGGAAAATCTCGCAGTTTTCATGTAGAAGGGCAAGGAAGTCGACAGCGTTTCTAGTCACTTCCATTCCAGCCGTTATTGTTATGCTGCTAAAACCGTTGTCGCCCGATGCTCGATGCATACAGAGGTTGATTCATCTAATGTAGAATTTCCTAATATTGCATTTTGTATAATGCACAACTTTCCCTGCCTGCACCCCTTCCTTCTCTTATTTATTCGTGATAGTCTTGTTCACAACTTCCTTTGCCCTTTATATTTTCTCAGGGGTCACCCAGTAAATCTGGTGGCTAGGTTTTCGCAAATGAGCCCAAATTCATCTACGTACGCGCGCATACACACAGGCACTGATAAAATAACACTTCAACAAAAAGATATACTCTCTGTAACAAAAGTGCCAATGTCTCTACCTTATAGGAAACACTCCACTGATCGTACAGATGTATTCCAATGTTATCCAGCCCGTCAGGTTACATTGTTATAAGCTAATGACTATTTTCTGTAATGTCTGGTCTAACTCACACGAGATACATGTAAATGTACTGAATCCCAACCTATACATCATGCATTTATGTGGCAAATAGGTTTAAAACATCACTGCAACACTCGTCACCAAGCACTGGCTACAGCTTGACACTGGGAAATGATGACTTCATCGAGATCATCGCTTGAATGATCCAGCACCCTCAAGCTGCAGAAACCAGCAAATCGCTCATCATAGAAGGTGTGTGCTGTAATGTTTTGATGAAAGCGCTCACCATCTTCATCTCCAACAGATCTCAAATTCTCAGGGAAAAAGTAAAGGTGATTATGTAGACTGAATCTTGACTGGCCTACGGTCACTAACAGTCTGATAGTCTACAATGAGTTTTATAACGCTTTTCTTTTACCCCAAAATCCTCTACACCCCGCCTTGAATGATCTCCACGCTTCTGGCTCAAATGAACTCGACTTATATTCGAAAGCGCCGTCTGCCATTATCCGGCGAATATCAGACCCAATAAGTATCCCTTCTTTGCACTTCGCATCACTGATATTCGGAAACATTGTTCCAACTACTGAAACGCATAATCATCTCACTTGAGGGCTTTAACGGTTTTTAATCAAACCAAGCTTGATGTACAAGGGTGGTAGTTCGATATAATCAGGTTGCACAAATGGCGTATGCCTTACTGTCATTTTCCCTGCAGCATACTCCATCCTTTCTGCCCACTTTTCCGGTTGTGTACTGCGATTGTGTTGCTCTACTGTCCCCTAAGCACAAGAAACAGCAACATTTTGTGAAGCCTCCTTGCATTTCTATTAGGATTCTAATGACTTTGAATTCAGCACAAATGTTCCAACAGTACTTATCGTAGTTCAGTGCAGCGAGTATCTGTTGCATACTTTCGTAAGTCTCCTTCATATTGGTGGCATGCAACAGGCACAGTTGGGTACACATATCCATTGTGGAGCAGTATGGCCTTAAGACTACTCTTGAGCGAGTTTGTGAACAAACACCATACGTCACTGATATGCCTCATGCGAAGCTCTTTCACCAGTCCTTCCACATCGGAACAGTAACAAAAGGTTTCTCTCGTATCATAGAAACCGGACAATTTAACACTTCACTTTCTGTGTACAGTAATCAGGCGGTCAATAACAGCAGCAGATCAGCCATTTGAACTGATCCTTCGCTACCATACAACCACAGCAACCTACTGAACGAAGAATAGTGAGAACAAGAGAAGATGGACTTACCAGTAAGTTTTTATGCCCTTAGCAAGCATTCAAACTCAAGGCGCCTACACCTTGTGTTCGCAACATCCCGTCACAAACAGCTGGCTATCGTGCAAGGCGACATCAGCGAGACAGCTTCCTTGCGGTTTTCACTGCTCCGCTTCATAATCAGCCATTACCCTGCAAATAACTCAGCACCAAACACACTTTAAACAGGCAATCCGACTAGAAAGCGGCAGCAGACACGCCACTGGGGTTAACTGCGAGAGATGTCCTGTAAAGTCTTTAGACAAACCACAAGACGAATCACATGGACTCCAGCTCGAACCGGACCGGCGGCAGCCAATTTGGCCGTGAGTGACTTCATTTCTCGTTACCAAGTCAACTTTTGTCCGCCTCCGGCTTTGCGTCACCCTACATCTGGCAGACTCTGCAAGTCCCTCCTCGGTAATCGGTGACCAGGCACACGCAGCACATGCCCGAGCCAACGCAACATATACACTGCTATTTGTTGTTCTAGGGAGCTAGCATGATTAGCACTACCTAGTACTTGTCTACGCACATCATCGTTGTGGACACGGTGGAGTCACTCGACACTAGAAATGCTCCGCAGACAACGATGATCAAAGACTTGAAGGCGCGTCAGATCTTCAGACCGAAGGGGCCAAGTTTCACTACCATAGAGCAGGACAGGCCTCATTGTGGCGTTGTAAAAACCGCCTTTCAGATGGAGGGAAACTCCCTTCTGTCGCCAAAAATGTCGCAGGCTCAAAAAGGTAGTTCTGGCTTTTGCAATGCGTGCACAGATTTCGGTTTCTCTGTGCCCATCTTTCCCGATGCAACTGCCTTGGTAAGTGAATCGATCCACCACGGGTTCCTCGTTAGCAAGGGTCAAGGGCTTATTAGGTGGCTGGTGGTCCTACAGCAACACTTTGCGCTTTGAAGGTGCGAAGCGCATACCAAATAATGGGACCACTCTAGACAGGCTATTCATGCTCGATTGTGCCGTCCCAACATCGTCGAAAAGCAAGACGATATCGCCCGCTTAATCATAATCAACTAGCCTTCCACCAAGTAGCACTTCAACGCCTACATCGTGAGATCCCTTAAGGGAACACTCTTTGATGGAGTCCACGACGAAATTGAACAAAAAGCGGGGAACTCGGACAACCTTCAAGAACGCCACTTGTCGTCGAAAATCCATCCATCAGCTCACCTTAGACCCTGACGCGGCCTGTACTGCTCGCGTATAGAGCACGTAAGCTGGTCGCATGCAGAATTCCGCACGGTATGTTGATCATTTATTTTGTTCATTACACATATAGTATTATAGTTGTCATGTTGGAAACTCGTATTCATCTAATTTGGTTTATGGAAAATCCGGTAGATGTCATGTTTGTGTGGAATATTTTCTTTGCACCAAACATAACTTTCAAGATGGCGCATAAGAGCAGACTGAACGTTAATCTGAAAGCGAATGCTTTAATGTCATTTTTCAGAAACGAGGGGTTTTGTATCGACACAAAGATGTTTCCATGCACACTTTCCTACTAACTGGGCTCCATGTAAACTGACTATTCAGTGATTTTATCGCTAATTTGAAACAAAAGCGGCTCTGTGGTGGAGAAGAATCGACGACGCAGACCAAGTGTCCGCACCTCTGGAAATATGGAAGCAGTTCGCGTTGGTTTGACACGAAGGAGGACGGCTGCTGAGTTAGGAATAACTCGTCGGCCCGTACAAAGGATTCTGCATTCTGATCTTCAAATATTCCATGACTAGAGAACATTTGTTCATAAATTAACAGCAGATGACAATCAAAAAAGACATCAGTTCGCTTCTTGGCTAGTGGAAGAAGATCACGTTCTGTATAACACGTGGTTTACTGATGAGGTGATCACATACTACATTGAGCTAAATGTCCATGCTCATACAATTTATTCTGCGCTAATTTTGTAATGTTCTGTCGATAAATACATGCGTGACGAACAAAACAAATGGTCTTACATTTCGTACGCCACATTGCATCTCGTAGAAACACCTTTCCACGTAAGTATTTCCAACAGAATGCATCGATCAACTGAATAGAACGCACTCTTGAAGTCGTGGAATACAGCTATTGTCGGTCTGCGGTATGTGTGGCGCTGCTCTAGGACCTACCGCCGAGTGAATACATGGTCTATACAGCCATGTCCTGGGCGGAGACCTGCCTGTTCTTCTTTAATCCGAGATTCCCGTTCCGCAGTGTGGGGACAAATGAAAATCGAGGCGAGTAACTTTGTCACAACTGTCGTTAAGTTAATACCCCTATGCTTAGTACAGTCTGTGCGACTGTCACTATAATCGATTCACTCTAGTTAGCCGGGACACTTCCTTTCATATATGTTCGAATAGAGGTCAGTGCTTTGCAGTGGACCTCACCTTCATGGTTAACTAGTGCAGGCGGGGGGATCCGAGCTAACAGCACGAAAACGACTGAAGGCTGTGATCACGTTTCGGACCTCAGCCTCCGATGGACCATCTAAACTAACCGTCCATTGCTCGTGCTGCATCACATGTGTACGAAGAGGTCCGGGAGCAGGGGACCAGCTGAAGTGATCTCGAAATTGTTCCGCCCAGCGAGCCTTACGGCGCTCCTTGCTGTGTATCAGTGCTCCCACGCTGTCTCTGATTGTCTCACTGACACCTGGTTTCCTGGGACTGTTGGTGCGGATCAGCTGGAAGAGCTTGTTGTAATTGCCTACTGCTCCAGCCTCATCCATTTCTTGAGCCCGAGTGGTCCACCAGGCTTCCTTGTCACCACGCAGACTCCGCTTTAGTTCGCGCCTAATAGTCTGTCTGTTCCCATTGTGCTCAGAGCCAATCGGGAGTTTTCTGCATTCCCGTAAGTTCGCCGATCTGTCGGATTTCCAATGACTGGTGGAG